AGAATATTCATGTTTTTAATCTCTGTGTGGTTCTTTCATTCAACATTATGTATGGAATTTGTCCAAGTGGTTACAAGTAGCCATAAATCTTTCATTTTCCCTGCTGAATGCTGTTCCATTGTATGAATAAACCACACTAACAAATCCATTCTCCTGTTTGAACATTTGAGTTCTTTCCATTCTGGGGACCATTACATACAACATTACCACGAACATTTTTGTATGTCTCTTGGTGTAAATGTTCAGCTGTAGTAGAGAATCCCAGATTCCCGAAGCGGTTGTACTAATTCACAATCTCAGTTTAGTCTTCATTTCAGTTTAATCTCAGTTTAGTCTTGATTTTTGATGTTGGTTAATGCGGTTGGGAGCTCAGAGAAGCATCTCCTCAGTCCAAGCCAGCACAGAGATTTTATTTATTCCACCCAGGATGACTCAGCTGTCTTCCTGGACTCCTGTCATTACTGCAAGTGTTAGCACTGTAGCTGGAATTGTTTTCTGAAATATGCTGTGAACTGAGACAAAGAAATAATGTATGGCAGGGCACCAGTGTGATGATCTCATGTGTGAGTAACCACTGCAAAACTATCTTTATATTGTTGATTTTTTGGTCTGAAGAGCTCAGTATCAAAGGATACCATTCAGAAGGTTGGAGGCATATTAAACCTGGACACTGTGCTGTGGTCATTTACAGCAAAAATGAACACTGACGTCTCCCTAAGGTATCTTATGGTTATAGCATTTGGATAGAAGTTCTAAAGATGCCAGAACTTCTGCAATGCACCACTCTAAAAGGCAGCGTTAACTGAACTGACAGCAGGTGCCTGAAACTCCTAACCTGTTTCTTTTAAGTAGGTCAAATCCTTTTATGAAAGTTCCTTACAAATCCCAATAATCTTATTTCAGAAATTCTTGTAAACTACTTTTTACTGAGTTAAGAGAAAAGCTCTGAGAGATGGTCATTTACCTTAGATAATCCTGGATGCCAAAGACAATCCCAGAAATATGTTTGCAAAATAAAACAGATCTATTACTTTCACTTGTCTTTGGAACGTTCGGTGAGAATGTGGAGAAGAAGAGAGAATGATATTCTTTTTGTAAGTAATAGACATGTGTCCATAATTTTTCCCTTTTGCTGATAGTAAAGAGAAACTGAACAAGCAAGTTAAACTTGCAGCCTTCAAAGAGAATCTCTCCTCCTTGCCTCCAGGGCGGTAAGTAGTGAAGAAGAAACTGGAGTCTTGTCCTACAAAATGAGGGACAGTTGCCACCAGCTGAGTAAAGATGAAAGCAAGAGGAAACCCGTCACATTCTTCACAAGACTTAGTGTCTCTATTCATGGTTACCGGAAGGTGATCAGTGAAAGGTTTGCTGAATTCTGAAGTGATTTTTATTTTGTTTCCAGTTGTGACTTATATCCCCACCTGCTTTCAAATGAATTATTAGGCAGTTATGATTTTCTGTTCCATAATGAAGCCAAACTTCTGTTTCTGTAAATATGTCTCAGAAATGATTATGTCTACCAAAACCCAAAATACAGTACAGTGGAAAGTTAGTCAATTAGAAAAAAAATTTTTTTCGTATAGTGAGTGACATAAAGTAACATTCAAAGAGGCATGAGTAATGACATCTTTTCCTGTCTTCAGAAACTGGCCCTACTCTAGAATAGTAGACGAGAAGGGAGTTCCAGGATCTATTTCAGTTTCATGGGTTGGTGGCGACACTGGTTTGGGTCTGTGGCTTCTTGGAGGATTCCATTATTTACCTCTTCCTGTCTTTCTTGACTGACTGGAGTTTCTGTTACTCTGTATGACAATATAGCTGCAGAAGTGATAATATTTTATACGGTGCAAAAATACAGTAAAACTTGTCATAACAGAGCCATCTTCTTCCCCTGAAAACCACGTATCATTCCCACTGAGAGACAAAAGTATCGGAGGATGTGTGGTAAGATCTTTAAGCCTTGCTTCTGAGTCTCTTCTCTCAAAAGATACTGTCAATGACACAAGGAATGGAACACAGCAGGATTTTCTGGTCCTTATGCAGCCTGGCTGAGGTGGTGGAGAATCCCTGTTGTGACTTGACTACTGGCAGATTTTATCAGGTAGGTTGCATGTCTCAGCACACAACACAACCTTAGAGACAGCCAAGTGTCATTTTAGTCCCAGGTTCACAGTGATGAACTTACTGTAAAACACAGGTGGAGTCGGGTAGTGATGTGTATTGCTTCATGACCTCTGACCCGGTATGTCTCAGACAAGAGCTTTCTAATCGGAGTGAGGCTTCCTTCGGGCGCTTTTGTGGCATTTGGCACGTTGATTTTGAATAGGATGCATTCAGACCGTGTACTGACCTTATTCTTGCTGGAGAGGTGACCTGTTGAAAGAAATGAACAATCAAACATTCAAAGTTGGCAGAAACAGCTGAAAACCGTTAGAGCTACAGAAGCCACCCTCCTCCCTCAAAAAAAAAAAAAAGACTCTGTGGTATGTTCTTGGAAAATTCACTTAATGTTATAAAGATAAAATGAATTTATCTGATATTTTCAAAGACTATTAATACCAGAGAGTTTTCAGAATGTATGGAACTGAAACAGAAAAATTTTAGCAAATATTGGTTAAATGAAAAAACAAAAACAAAAACCCTGTAGTTCCTTGGCTGGTGTAAGCTTTAAGTGACAAACTCCTAGGAGAGAAGGACTGCATTCTGTCCCACATAATTGGTAGGTGGTCTGGAAAGGCAGGTTGACTTGAATCTGAGGACTCTGTCATGTGTGGACAGCCCTGTTCACCTTTTGTTTGTGGGTAAGCAGAGCAGTCCACGCATGATGTATCGGTGTGATGTAAGGAGGGAAAACTGGACTATGTCCCACAGCCTTTCTTGCCCTCTGTGAGGCAAACTTCAGGTTTTACATTAGATGATACTAGAGTCCCATGATAATGTCATCCTTGAAACTTAGGCTTTGGAATTGCCTGACACGTAAGAATGAAACTCCACAACTCTTCATCCACCATCATTCACTCTGAGATACTTGGAGAGAAAGAGAGCACTGTTCGTAATGACACCAGGACAACAGCATCACTCAGACCTGTCCCAGGCTAACCAGGACCCATAAAAACTGTATCTTGCACTATTGAAAAAACGGCGTGTTCAGTCTGCTAACCTATCAGGGCAGAAAGACCATTAGGAACCCCAACTTTGTCCCAAGATATTAACTACATATTTTGAGGCTGTCAGGTGACAAGATTTGAGATTTGTGCCACAGATATTCTTTATCTCATCTACTCAAATAGACCCAAACCAAGATCATGGCTACCCTCCATTGTAACATCCACTCAACTCCCAGGTGCTATATGAAATTACAGCAATTAACCAATCTAAACAAACAGAATGTGGTTCAGTCACAATGAATGGATTTCAAATTGGTTTTCCATGATTAACAGTGAGTCACTTACTTGAGAAACTATTGCTGTGAAAGGAGAAATTCAGGAACACAAGGGGCAAGACAGCCCGGGGAGAACGTGTGGGAGAGTAAAACAAACCTTTCACTACACGCTATTGAATTTATATCTTTAAGTCTGGTCAAGGAAGGAGTGAGCAGGTGAACAAAAGGTGCCCAGAGTGTCTATGAGTGGATAAGCAGAAAGTATCCATCCTGCCCCTTGGCTCCTTTAAAGGAGGGCACAGAAGCCCTGGCTGCTGATTTTGCAGTGCTGTGAATGCCTCTGAAGGAACAGAGTAGCCCTTCCCACCACCAACTTAAGCAGACCAAAGATAGGAAAGTTCCTTCAGTTGGTTTTAGGTCGGTTATTAAATTCTGATAGCTCTCCTTAAAAGTTAATTCAGGCAAAAGGAAGCAATGCGCCCGACCCATCAGGATGACTAGCTCAGAAGCAAAATATTTTGTATATTTGATTTGAAAAATCATTAATTCTGGTGGGGAAAAAATAAATGAAAAGAAATGATCAAATGGTGTTAATCAATTGCAGAATAGCACATGGGATGGAAAAACGGGAAGTAGAATCTTCAAGAAAAGAAATTCTTCCAGTGGAAAAATCTGACCTGGAGATCTGGAGGGGTTTTTTTGTTTTTGCAAGTTCTAGAGGGCAAAGATACCCTTTATGCATTTGGCTGTGTGTTGGGGACTGTTCATATTATGAACAGACTGCTTGTAATATAATGCATATTAGGAGTGGCAATTTGCTTGGAGATGGGCTTAAGGAGGTTGGGGTTGCTAAGACAGTTGTTCTGAGGCCGTGTGGCTTGTTAAGCTCAGTGTTTTCACTCTGATTCTGTATTTACTGGCGTAGCTTTGCAAGTATCCTCCCACTCTATTTCAAGATGCCCCTGTAGGTCTTGTGTTTTTAGACTTGGGACACTTTGAGCACTGCCCATGTGAGGCATGAAACGGTTAGCCAAAACTACAGCTTTCAGCAATCTGTTGCCAAGAGCTAATGACAAAAGTGATGCCCAATAATACATAAGAGTGGACAAGAAGAAGACCTGCATAAGTAAGGAAATGGATGGATCTTCCACAGAGATGAGCCATCATGCCGTCTGTCTTATTTTGAAACTGATCACTTTTTATTGTTGCAACTTTTGCAATGTCTCATTTGCCCTCTGGCTACCCTCTGGGCCAGTTAGTTTAGCAAGCACATAGTTACAGAGGGTTATTTAGACACCTGAAACATTTTAATGGTTAGCCATGGCAGTCATGTTGTGTAAGAATCAAACTGCTTTAAGGAAAAAGACAAGGTTCATAAAATAACTCCATTTTTATAAGTCCTTTAATGAAAAATAATCGTATTACCCAAAACAAAACAACCTTCCATTGATGGATGCTGGTTATTGTCAGTTCCTTGTGGCGGGATTCATTGAAGGATTTAGAACTTGGTGTTCAGGGTGTGCCTTGAGCTTTGTGGCTCCCTGACCTTGTTCTTATCTGGAATATTTTACTGCGTTAGATACCTGACAAGAAGCAGATCCGTGCTCTGTCTACTTACTTGGATTTTCTTTTGGAGCTGATTCAAAGTGGGATTTCCTTAAGGAGTACCTGGCTTTAAGCTGGATATGCAAAGCACGTCTAGAGCAAAACAAGCCAGAAGGAGTCAGAGTAAAAAAACTGGTCAAAACTACAGTAAGGTATCATCTCACACCAGTCAGAATGGCCATCATTAAAGTCCATAAATGATAAATGCTGGAGAGGTTGTGGAGAAAAGGGAACCTTCCTACACTGTTGGTGGGAATGTAGTTTGGTGCAACCATTATGGAAAACAGTATGGAGATTCCTTAAAAAAATTAAAAATAGACTTACCCTATGATCCAGCAATCCCTCTCCCAGGCATATACCCAGAGGAAGCTCTAATTAAGAAAGACACATGCACCCCAATGTTCATAGCAGCACTATTTACAATAGTCAAGACACAAAAGCAACCTAAATGTCCATTAACAGATGATTGGATAAATAAGATATTTTTAATATATATAATGGAATACTACTCAGCCATAAAAAAGAATGAAATAATGCCATTTGCAGCAACATGGATGGACCTGGAGATTGTCATTCTAAGTGAAGTAAGTCAAAGAAAGACAAGTACCATATGATACCACTTATATG